ACTATCTGCAGGCATTTTATATATACTGGAAAAAAATCAGGTAACAAAAAAGACAAAAATCTCTGCCTTCAAAAAGTTTTTCTTGTGCACATTTATGTTACCTTGTCCTAGGCACAGTGCTGGGCACTATGAGGATGAATGCAAGAGCCCCAGAACAGGTCAAAATACTCAATTCTATGAAAAATATAAATTAAAGCAATCACACGGTATATGAATTTAGGAAAATAGTTCTGTGGGAGGCATTGCATGAGGTCAGAAGAAGTAGAGAGAGAGGAGGGAAGGCTTCGAGCCCTTTTTGGATTCATTCATATGCGAGTCAAAATGAACCTTGGGAAATATTTAGAATCCCGACAGGAGAAAGGTAGAGATTTTAGAAAAAGTAACATGAGTAAAGTCAAGAAGGCCTGAAAGCCTGTGTTTACTGACGTGAGTGACACTGAGTGTTCAATATGGCTGCATTTCAGGTATAAATTAAGGAGTGACCGGAAATTAAATGAAAATCTATGTTAGGACCATACTGAAGTCCTTAACAGCTAACATAAAGAATGTATTTTTCATTTGAAGGAAGCGGGAACTCGTCAAAGATACTGAGGAGAGTGATATAACGTGGACATTTAAAAGGGTTCTTTGCATACCTGCACACGTATGTTTATCGCAGCATTGTTCACAATAGCAAGAACCTGGAAACAACCATGCTGCCCATCAAAAGAGGACTGGATTAAAAAAATGTGGTACATATACACGATGGAATACTACGCAGCCATAAAAAAGAACAAAATCATGAATTTCACTGCAACCTGGATGGAACTAGAGTCTATAATACTGAGTGACCTCTCACAGAAACAAAGATCCGAATATCACATGTTCTCACTCATATAATGGACCTTGAACATCCAATGCAATACTATAAGAAAATGACTGATGGTACTGGGAAACTATGGGGGGGAGGGAGATAGGATTAATAGTAGCAAATATCTGTCAGGGGATGGGAAAACACCTCTAATCAACAGGGTTCCTGAATGAAACGTAATTGTACACCTAACCCTTAACTGTACCCCACAAAACCATAATAAAAAATACTGATTAATGAAAAAAAAAAAAAGGTTCTTTGCAAGAAGTGTGAAAATACATTGAAATGAGGGAGAAAAGGAAGGGAGGTGACTCATCAGGAAAAACTGAGTCAAGTGCTTGGGAGCAGTTTAACAATAACCGACAAGCAGTGGGGTCATGAGAGGCTTCCAGAGATTTCTCATGTCTGTGACAAAGGCAACCCCAGAGGCTGGCAAGGACAGCCCAATCACCAGGCACCACACATTCCCATGTTCCCTGCTTGGCCCACCTCCTGTGTGGACCCCACTCCCATTCTCTGCCTACTCCCAACACCACACTCTTAATGCTCCATACTTTGTCCATATATTCCTATCATCAGCCCAGGCAGGCAAATAATACGTGACAAACTACACATCTGGGGCCACCATATGCCCTCACTCACACTAGCCTGATGCAAATGACGTGTGACAATCTGGGAGCAGAAAGCCAGTTTGGGACTCAAAGTAGAATTACTTTTCCAATAGTCCTTACCCTACTGAAAGCATTTCACTTTTCTCTTTTTCTGTGGTTTCAGCACCTAAAGGTGTAATAAGGCTTTAGAGTCAGACCTTTTTTTTCTACCTTGGTAAGTTCAAAATATTGATTTCTTAGCTAAAGGTCATTACAGTTTAGTAGAATCCTTAGGAAGAAAACATCTGAGAACAACTCAGGAAGGAATTTAGTAGAGAAGAAAGGATATTACAATTAAAATTTTCAATTGTAACATCCTATATATTATTATAGCCTAATTAAAGGGAATTAGAATGTTTAAAAGTCATGCTAAGTAATTACCAATCATATAAATTGAAGAAAAGACTTCACAACATTTTGGTACACTTCCAAGCTTATTTTCACTTTCCTTTTCATAACCACGAAAATTAAGATGATTATCCTACAAGTTGAAAACTTGCACATTTGTTTTACTAACAGAAATGTAGTGGTACTCATCTTTATTCAAAAAGTTCTTAAATTGAGTGAGTAGATTTTAGAAAAAGTAAATGAAGGTGTGTTCAGCTAGGAGTTATCAGCACTGGGTCCTTGCAGATGTTATCCACAGGAAATGAAAGAGAAGTGAGGCTCACATGAGTCCAGCACCACTTATTATTTCAGAAAACAGCCTAGAGCAGAAGAGTGAATGTGAGCCAAATGAGCTTTATCTTGTGAGATCTCTTATAATCCAAAGGTTCTCAGCAGCAAATATAATTCAGAAACAATGATAACTAACATAAAGTTATAAGTAATAAGGGAGACCATGGACTCTGTGAAAGAGGAGATAGGTCATATCTATGTGTTCTTCACTCTAGGCCAAGTTGCTTTATGGAATAGTGACTTGCTTTCTTTGACAACTAAAATGTACTCACTGTAGGCATTTTAGAAGCTACACATGAACATCATGCGAAAAACAGAATAATCTGATCATCCAAATATAAATACTATTAACACTTGGTTTCTTCCTCACCAATAAATTAGTTTCTGTACCTAGGCTGACTTTTTTTTTTTTCTTTTAAAACTGGGACATCATTTTGTAACTTGCTTTCTTTTCACTTTTCATGTCATGAAAATGTTCCCATATTATTGAATGTCTCCCAAACAACCTCATCTTTTTATTTGTTTTTCATGTTTGTTAATGAGATATGTGAAAATATGGTTATTTATTGTTAGGATGAGAGTCTTTGACTATAGGGAAGCTAAAAAATCTTCCCTTCCCCAACTTTGGACAGTTAAATTATTTTGTTCTTTGTGAATTGCCCATTTATATCTGTTTTTCACTGGGGATCATTTTTTATAGGGGTATTCATCTCTCCCTGTCTTAGCCCATTATAATAAATAATAAATTACCATATAATGGGTGGTTTCTAAACAACAGAAAATTATTTTTTAACATTCTAGGGGCTGAGAAGGACAAGATCAAGGTGTCAGTAGCATAAGCTTATTGGGCAGCATAGATGAAGATTCCATTAAGGTCATAACTCTTTTATAAAACTAGTATCACCATTACTTCTTACTCTGCAAAGCAATGAAAATGATTATTTCTATGGTTATAATTATTTTTGAAATGAAATAAATCTAAGATAATAGGGAGAGAATAATGTTTTCAAGGAGATGTACTCACAGCAAACCTCTCCTAAGTGATCAGGAAAGTTGCTCCATTGCTTTAAATATTGACCAGGAATAGGGACAGCATCCAGCTGTCACATATAATTGTTCCTGGAGGTGGTAATCAAGTCTCCTTTCTTCAAGCACTATTAAATTTATCTTTACCAATGCATCGTGCTCTGCGAATTCCCAAATAATCTTGCTTTGAGCACTTAAAATTTTTGTTCATTAAAAAACCTAATTCCAGTTATATCAAACAATATGTAAAACATGTTATGAAGGCTTGAATATGTGCACATTTTTGACCCTTAATTTAAAAAATTAATTCTAAGTACATTTATCTAACAGATGAGCAATTTCTGTTGTATAATAAATTATCATAACATTTGAAGCATGTTCCTTCATTTTACTGATGATAGTAAAATAAATGATATCATATTCCATTCTCTTTAGTCACTAAGCATGAAAAGTATTCAGTTTTTGCTAAGCCAAGGTCAAACATTCCCACATCCTGTTTTAATCTGCTTAAATTCTCTATCTTTGCAAGCAAATTCACAAATGTTAAATTAGCAGCTACAATGTGATTTTTTAAAAACTCCCTTAAACTTTTGAATGTTGCTAAATTATTTTTCCTTATGTATAACTTGATCTCATTTTAATAAAACAAATGATCTCAATGTAGGTGTGCATATGTATTTGTATAAGAATAGAACAGAGTCTAGAGGAAGCCATTACCACTTTTTGAGATGGATTGGAGTGGTGGGGTTCACACCAGGACACCGAAGTAAGAGTTACTCTGTTGCAGTGATCATGTGTTATATTTTTATTCTTAACAAGTCAACAATTTTTTTTTTTTTGATGATGCTACTCTGTGCAGAAATGTGACCTGATTTAAAGGTGATACAATATTGGTGGATGAGGAATCTCTATTCTAGTCCATGCATCTTTCAAGGTTGATTAGAGCCAGAGTTTGCTCTGTGTCTACAGACTTGTTTTTCTCCTAGTGAAGAATCAGCATAGAAAAAAAAAAAAAAGCAAGAGGAAACTTTGGTCATATGTATATTACATTCTAAATACCTGAGCTAACATGTCCTTATGTACAAGAGTAGTTGAAATACATTCTTCCTAAAGGCGTAGGGCCCAAGACACCAACATGATCTTTCATTCACTAATCAACTGATATATCGCTGCTGTACATGGTAAGTTAAAACTACATATTGTATAAAGTAAAATAAAGGGTGCCCCCCAATAACGACTCAGTTCTTCAAAGTTCATGTTTTGAGGAAGAATGGAAGCTTCTTTGCAGCAATCCGTAAAAATCATTTTTGAGCAAGGTCAACACAAACACCTTGTTTTCCCTAAGGGATCAACCCGTGGTTTATTCACTGGGCTAACTCTTCAACACTTTTCTTCTTCATAGCCTTTGAGGCAGATAGCCAAAATTTCTGATTTCACAACGGGATGACAAAGGGGTGTGTTTGTGTGTGTGTGTGAGTGTGTGTGTACGCGCGTGCGTGTGCATAATTCACCTTTTTGCAAAACCCAGCATTCAGAGTAGATTAATTCCTCGTAAAAAATCCAGTGATTGAAAATGGTGTAATCGTTTCTGTCTTCCTTTAAAAAAAAAAAGTCCAGTAACAGCCCAGAACTCTAGTTTTGAGTCATATCATCGAATCTAAACACGATTGAGGGAGGTTGGAGGAGAACCAGGGGAGAGGGAGAGAGGGGAAGAGAGAGAGAGAATCAGAAGAAGGGAGGGTGAGCAGTGAGTCAGGAGGCTAGGAAGCAGACGAAGGGATTCTTTCTCCCCTTACCGGTTCTTGCCTCGGCCCACATCACAGCATGATGATCGCGAGTCCACAGTGCAGGGAAAGAACCAAGCCCAGATCCGAAGAATGGGAGCACGCTATGCTTCTACGACAGCCATTTGCCTTTGGGGAAAAAAAAAATAAATCACTTCTGAGACAGCTCCCAAACTCAGCTGAGAAAACCGGCGCCGGAGCCCGGAGTTCGGGCAGAGCCGCCAGCCTACTTCCCCCCAGCTCCTCCTGCAGCTCCTCCTGCAGCTCCTCCTGCAGCTCCTCCTCCAGCCCCTCCTCCAACTCCTCCTCCAGCTCCTCCTCCTGCCCGGGTAGAGCCGCCAGCCTACATCTCCACCCACTCAACCCCCTCTCCCCGCTCCTCCTCCAGCTCCTCCTTCTGCTCCTCCTCCAGCACCTCCTCCTCTTTCAGCTCCTCCTGCATCCCGGTTCCCGCCGGGCTCCGGAGCTTCCGTGAACAGCCAATCGCCCGGCGCCCCGCCCCATGACGTCAGGGGACGGGGCCTGGTCACCGACACCTCCCAGCTCCAGCTGCTGGACAGTGCTGCCTTCTTTTCTCAGAGGATGCCCCAGTGACCTAGAGCCCACAGAATCTGACCTTGACCTCGCAAGCATAGATTGCCCGAGGTTGAAGGTTTGGCTTATTCTTGTGTCGCTGCAATTCTAACAACTCACTCATTTAGCTAAACTTAACAATTATTTTTTGGAAGGGTAAAGATCAAATCTAAAAATTTAGCGTCAGTGTTTTTATAAGTAAAAAAGAACTTGAGAAAAAGATGACAATTTCTATTTTTGTCTGTTTTTTCAATAGCCCTTCTGTTCCCTCACTCAGGATAATGTGACTTTGCCCATACACCTTCAAGGATCCATTTGCTTAAAACTCGCTTTATTTTTCTCCTAAATAAATTTCAATAACCTATCTGGTTTCTCAAAATTTATGACCAACTAAATGCTTTGAGAAAGGGGAAAGACATTTAGAGAAAGTTTTCAGAACAAAGCCTAATAATCACCAGCTACCAATTGTTTTATCCCACTGAAACAAATATAAAATGTGAGGCAAAAGCTTCCACAACTCTCCTATATTGTGTGTCTGTCCTCCATTCTCTCAAATGTATAGCAAGAGTGAAGAAATCAAATGATCATGCAAATGTTTGATTTTTAGTGAAGAGCTCACAAGGACAGATACAGGCTGCTGTTTGTGAAGCTTGAAAATTCTCTCCGACCAAGAGAGGCCAAACAAGTTTTTGCACCCAGAGAGTGTGCCTCTGCCAGATGAGGAGAAACAAGTTTGGGGTGTGGCTTTCTGAGATGGCCCATCAGGGAAGTCTCCTTCTACAGGCAAGGACAGATCTGTAGAGTTAGTTCAAGTCAGCTCTGTGACTGAACCCAGCCGAAAAAGAGCACTCTGTCATTTGCTTGGCCTCTGAAATTCCTAGCCCTAGTAGTACTTTTGCAGTCATGTGACTGTCTCCAATATGATTAAAGATTAAGTAAACTTCCCATGTGATAGTCAACCTTTTTAAGGAGACTTAAAACCACAGTTGGGCTAACCTCGGCAGAGGGCCTTTCTGGGAAGGCACATACCAGGACAATTCAGGCATGTAGCTGGCATCTGCAGCCTGTTCGAATTGCTTAAATCAGTGGTTCTAACTAGCTACACAGCAGAGTCATCGGGGGAGCTTGATGCCAAGGCCTCACCCAGACCAATTAAACTGGAATCTCTGGGGGCGGGGCTCTGGTAAATTTCTGTCCTTCATTTTTTTCAAGCTACCCCTAGTGATTCCAATGTGCAACAAAGGCTGAAAATCACTGGCTAAGATTTAAATTATTGTTTTAGAGGAAAACTTATTCAAGTTTATAAAATGATGTAGCAGAATAATGTGAACCATTTTGTAATACAAATTATTCTTAATATATTTGTATATTTTGATATAAAGGTAAAAAAATGTGAAGATGCACATCAAAATTATTTACTTAGAGGGAAATGATAGTGAGGGAGAGGTTATTAGCTTGTGTATGTATAATCTGACTGAATGAAAGAAGCGTGAATCCCTTCTATAATTAAAATACATGTAATTAAATTTCTTAAATTAGTACTTATAAATGCCATGAAGGCCATTGAGAATAACTACATTAAAGTGGTTTTGTTGTCTTCTTTTTGCAAATGCTCCTCTAATACCCAACTTAACTCCTAAGAGTTATAGAATTTCTATACTATAACTATATGTTTTAAGCAAACTATAATTTTTTATTATTTTGTAAAAAAACTATAATATTTTTACTATTTTATTTTTAAAAATCCTTAAGATATGAGTTACTTATATGTAAGTATTAACATACAGTCAAGTCTAAAGTTAACATATATTTATTTTCTTCTAATTTTAGAAATATATTCCTTTTTTTGTACTTCTCATGAAGTTTTTTTTTTAAACTAATATTTAAATTATATAATGTAGATGTGAGGAAATTTCATCTTCTCTGGCTGGAAAATTGTTTGGACTCCCAGTACTAAGAGCTTCATAATTAATTGCCAGTGAAAAATACATGGCGCCAGGCTCAGTGGCTCAGCCTGTAATCCCGCGCCTTGAGAGGCTGAGGTGAGTGGATTGCCTGAGCCTGCAGGTTCGAGACCCGCCTGGGCAACTTGGCGAGACCTCATCTCTACAATAAATAAATAAAAAAAAAAACTAGCCAGCCATGGTTATCACTGGAGACTAGCAGGTCGAGGCTGCGGTGACTGGGAGCAGCCACTGCACTCCAGCCTGGGCGATAGAGTGAGACTCCAACTCAAAAAAAAAAAAGAAAAAAGAAAAGAAAAATCCATGGCATAGTAGCCAAGTACCTTGATTTAACCTAGTTTTAAATCTTAGCTTTGCAAATTTTTGGATCTGTGACCTTGGCACCATCACTCTTATGGTACATAGGTCAAATGGATCCAAGACCATCTGCCTCAGTGTTACTAAGTTTAAATGAAGTCAGGTGGCTGAAGTGCTTATCACTGTGTAAAACAAATAATAGGTGCTTAACAAATGACAGTTATCAGTTTACTGACTTCTACTTCTCAGTGTTAAATCTAGTCAAAGATTAATATGACAGCAAGAGAAAAAAATTATCAGAAAATTTGTTTATAAACAGTAAAAACCAATGATATTTCTTCTCTGAGTATATGTGAAAGAGAAGCATATTCATTCTTTTAGTCCACTGCTTTACATTGTAACATGTAAAACAATATGATTAATTTTTTATTTGCCTTAAAATATTTCACATTTAGCAGTGTGAAAATGACGCATGTTTATTTCTCATGATTCATTATCACTAATTTTTTTGTGCTTATTAACAATGCATGACTCAAACACAGATTAGGACATTTCCCACAATCAGTTTTCTGACTAACTTTTGAACAAAAAGAGAGAGAGAGATCAATGCCTCAGGCAATTAAACCTGTCCCTTGTTGATGAGCCCTGCTCTTAATAACATAATCACAGGATTTTCCCTCTCCTCTTTCCTAAATATTTGCTGCATGCTGTTAGGCACTGTACCATTTCTGTTAGGCACTGTACCAAGCAGTTTCCATTCGTGACTTCAGCTGCTCCTCTTATCAGCCGTATAAAATCATTCTTCATTTAGATATGAGAAATCAGAGGCACGAAGAGTGACAGCAACTTGCCCAAGATGGCAAGATAAAAGGTAGATGAGCTGATGAGAGATCACATGTTCTTAACACAGCACTCTGACATGGGCCACTTGGCAAGGGCTTCAATGAAGCAGGAATGAGGCTGTTTGTTTTTTTCTTTTCCACACATTTGAGTTCCTTGCAGATCCTAGATGTTAGGGTTTTGTCAGATATACATTTGGCAAATACTTTTTCCCAGTTTATGGGCTGTCTTCCTGTTCTTTCAGTGGTTTCTTTGGCTTTGCAGAAGCTTGTCAGTTTGATGAGATCCCCTTGTCTATCTTATCTCTTGGGCACTTGGGGTTTTGATCAGGAATTGGTTGCCAGTTTCAATTTCATAAGGGTGTCTCCTGCATTTTCCAAGGTTCTTAAATTTTGAAGTTTTACATTTAGGTCTTTGATCCATTTAGAGTTGATTTTTGCATGCGGTGATACATAGGGGTCTTGTTTTAATCTTCTGAATGTGGTCAGCCAGTTTTCCCAGCGTGAGTTACTGAATAGTTTCTCCTCTCCCCAGTGGTTGACAGTAGAGGCTTTGTCAAAGATGAGTTCGTTGAGAAACTGATGTTTTGCTTCTGGAATCTCTATCCTGTTCCATTGGTCTATATGCCTGTTCTTGTACCAATGCCATTATAAAGTTGGCAAAATATATGAATAGACTTCTCAAAAGAAGACATACGAGCAGCCAACTGATACCTGAAAAAATGCTCAACTTCGCTAGTCATCAAAGAAATGAAAATTAAAACCACACTAAGATACCACCTAACTCCAGTCAGGATGGTCATCATCAATAACTCAAAAAACAACAGATACTGGAGAGGATGTGTTAAACACTTCTACACGATTGGTGGGAAATGTAAACTAGTACAGCCTCTGTGGGAAACAGTGTGGTAATTCCTAAAAGATCTAAAAATTGACCTCTTATGCGACCCCGCAGTCCCCCGACTGGGAATATACCCGCAGGAACTCAAATCACTCTATGAAAAAGATACCTGCACATGCATATTTATCGCAGCATTATTTACAATAGCAAAAACATGGAACCAACCATGCCTTTTGAAAGAAGACTGATAAAAAAAATGTGGTACATATACACAATGGACTATTACACAGCCATATAGAAGGACAAAATTACGAACTTTGCAGCAACTTGGATGGACTTAGAGGCTATAATACTGAGTGATCTATCACAGAAACAAATTACCGAGTATTACATATTCTTACTCATAAGTGGACCTTGTACAACTATCATAATACTATAAGAAAGGGATTGGCAATAGTGGGAAACTGCTGGCGGGGGAGGGGTTGCGGGCATACCTCATCAATAAGGGTACTTGTATAGTGAACATTTGTATACTTAACCCTGAATTGTACCCCACGTATTTAAAAT